GTACAACAAAAAACATATTCCAGCTACCAACTATGATAACGTTGAGCATATTTTAAGAGTGTTAAATGGTATCGGAGAGAACTTGAAATTTCGCTATGATGAAATAACAAAATTTGTGTCTATTTCTGTTTTGGATAAAAATATAACTTCCGTAACATTATCACCCAAATTAAGTTTACAACTAGGTTATGAACCAAATAAAAATCTCCTAGAGAGAAGTTTTGGAAAGTGTCCTGCTAATTTACACTTAGAGTTACCATCTCAACTCTTTATATATTGCGACATTATCGATCCTCAGATTGTGGGTGATGTTATGACTCCTTTACTAAGAGTCATTTCATTAGATCCTACAAAATACATTTATGGTGCAAATAAAATGCACGTTTTCTCTCAACCTCACTACTTACCTGTTATGCGAAGAGAGTTCGATACGCTGGAAATAGTTATAAGATCGAGCACAGGACAAAAAATACCATTCCAGTTTGGAACCGTGTGTATTAAACTACATTTCCGAAAATTATAATAATGAATTCTCTTCGTGATCATCATAAATGTCCATATGAAAATTATTATACACATCAAGCTGGGTCAGGAGTTGGAGTAATTTATAAGGGTGCACCATACCAACACGGTCATGGTATTGGGAGCTTCTTAGGGGGGTTATTTAGATCAGTTTTACCTTTACTTTCAAGTGGTGCTCGAGTGATTGGTTGGATTGGCATTAAGCGCTGGAGTAGGAATTTTATCGGATATGGTTCAAGCGCGTCCTATGGAAGCCTCAATAAAAGATCGTCTAAAGCAAGTTAGTACGAATTTAAAACGAAAGGCTGATGAGAAAATTGATCAATTTAACATGACAGGATCTGGGTATAAAACTAAAAGAAAACGATTGACCTCGTTCATTCCACCATTAACTGCTAAAGTGAAAGCTGCGAAAAAACTTGGTCTAAAGCCAAAAAATAACAAAGATATATTTTCAAATTAAATATGTCTTTCCTTCATAATCATTCTTGCGAGTGTGTTCAGTCAGAATTGGATTTGTTTGCACTACCGTCTACACAAACTAGCATTGAAAATGGATTGTGGATTCATTATAAACCAATTTCATCTCTTGGTGATGATGGACCTATCGAGTTTCAAGTTCCTGGGACAGGCGATGACTACATAGATTTGTCTCATACATTACTCCACATAAAGGCAAAAGTATTAAATCAAGATTCAACTTACTCGATATCTACTACAATAGTAGCACCTGTAAATAATTGGCTGCATTCACTTTTTAGTCAACTTGATGTTTATTTAAACCAAAAACTTGTATCACCACCTAATAATACCTATGCATATCGAGCATACATGGAAACCCTTTTAAACTATGCTCCTGCTGCTAAACAATCTCATCTTACTTGTAGTCTTTGGTATGATGATACAGCAGGAAAAATGGATTCTACGGATGGTAAAAACATAGGATTTGTTAAAAGACAGGAATTGATTAGTGAAAGTAAGGAAATAGAAATGATTGGTCATCTTCACGGTGACATTTTCAACCAAGATAAATTTTTAATTAATGGTGTTGAAATGAGTGTTAAATTGGTTCGATCGAGAGAGAGCTTTAATTTAATTGCTGGGTCAAACGATGTAAAGTTTAAAGTTTGCATTACGGACACAACTCTTATTGTTCGACGAGCACGAATTAATCCAAGTGTATTACTCGCACATCAAAAAGTTTTAGCTTCTACCACTGCTAAATATCCTATTACTCGAGCTGAAGTAAAAGTTTTAACAATTCCATCGGGTGTTCAAGGAAAAACTCTTGATAATATATTTTTAGGGCAGGTACCCAAAAGATGTATAATTGGATTTGTGAACAATTCTGCATTTAATGGTTCCCTTACTAAAAATCCATTTAACTTTGAAAACTATGGTATTAATTCTTTCAGCTTATATATTGATGGTCAACAAATACCTTCAAAAGCTTTGCAACCATCTTTTAATAATAGCATATTTACATCAGCATATCATACTCTATTCTCGGGAACTGGTATTCACTTTCTTAATGAAGGAAATGGAATCTCTTGTGAACAGTATGCCAAAGGTTACTGTCTATTAGCATTTGACTTAACTCCTGATTTATCAGCCAACTCATCAGCTCATTGGAATCTCATAAAGCATGGTAGTGTAAGATTAGAAGTACGATTTGAATCCTCACTAATACAAACAATTAACTGTATAGTTTATGCTGAGTTTGATAATATTATCGAGATAGATAAAAACAGAAATGTTACTGTAGACTATAGTGGTTAAGGTTATAATATGTGTTGTGTGTTAGATTTTATGAGTTATGTCTAATGCATTTTGTGTGTATGTAACTATGTGAAACATTATAAAATTAAATAAAACAAATTGTATGCAATATATTATTTTTTATTTCTTTATAAATATTCTATTTAATCTAATACAAAACTCTGTTCGAGTTTAAATTTTACATAAGCACACTGACTAAGCCACTGAACATGCTGCTGCCAAGGATCATCATCATCTTCCCAATCTTTTAAGCCACCACCACAATGGAAACACTTGGTCCTGTCTGCATGGCCAGTATAAAAGAAACCGGCTTCTGCAAGATCTTCAGGTTTCTGTCGCATAACGAGAGGCTAGTTTTCGAAACTGAGCAACCGGCTAGATTTTGAACTGAAGAATGGATATTCAGCTCTTGAGTACTGCATATTCTCGTTTTCATCTCCACTCAGTGTTGTAGTTTTGTTCTTCAATGATGTGTTCTGTACACGTATGCCACACTCATCTCTTTCTTCTGCTCTTGTCTTCCTGTAATTTAAGTAAACAGAATCACATTCACTAATGATCAGCTAATGACTGTCATTGTTAAAAAAGTATTTTTTAACTTTTTCACTTTCTGCTATTGTCTTTGTAATATTGTATACGAGGGCGTTTGTGTTGTCGTAGATGCTATCCTTATTAGTCTTTACGTAATATTTAATCCTCGTGGAAGCATGTTTCCAATGATCAGTAGTTGGAATCTTGGATAGCTTCTTCATATCGTACATTTCAATTTTGATGAGATGCGTCGCTTGGTCTCCGTCGTCAGAATTAGTAGAAATGTATGATACACCATCTCTAGCGGCTCGTGCTACGGTTGATGATAACAGCTTCCTCTTTTTTATTTTTGATTCAGCTTCAAAAAAATGATCAATCGATTGCGATTTTCTTTTTCCACCATCGCATGTGTTATTATTAATGACGATGTCATCACTCTCTTCTTGAGGGGAGAGTGGCGAGTAGTAATACTGTTTATAGGTATTTTCATCGAAGCTCAATGATTTCTGCAACAACACCGTTATCATGTTAATATCAATTTGTTAACACTTAATCGTGTTGGCAAACTTCACATGCCTTCGAAATTTTCTCAGACATGCATTCCTCACGATGTTTTCCTTCACCGCTGAGCACGTGGTAAATCAGCACTTAAAATTGTAATTAACAATTTAATTGGTGCCGGCGGGGATCGAACCCGGGTCGTGTACTATGAATTTTACATTTTGCGCTAACCATCTGAACTACCACGGCTTAACCATATACACACACATAATATTTAAATATAATTTGTTAACACTAAATCATACACACGTAAGAAAATAACAGAAAGAAAAGTAAGTTTGTCAATAGAATAAACACTTACATCCATGGCCTTTGATGCGTTGAAGTAACACAAACGTAGTATTGATAGATCCACTGCGGTCAAGCGACCATACACTAACTCCATGACTGCAGTTGCTTGGTCTTATATAGTACCAGTGAGTAATAATTCTAATCTAAGGAATTTCTGCAGTAGAATTGATAGTATCTTTATGCGTCAACAAGCTTACCTTACATTCTGTTGCTTATCTCTACATTCCTACGTCCTTCCTGTCGTGTCTTGTTCAGTGTATTGGTGACTCAAATACGTTTTGTATAACACAAAGAAAGCAATTTAATATTTAGATATCACTATAATTGATCATTCCTATATTAGTCATTGAGTAGATTGGTACTGTAATAATCTACTAATAGCAGTAATATTATGGATACACTAGATATACAACAACATCTGAAAAAGATTCACCCCACTCTAGAAAATAATGTTTATGCTGCCAATAAACTACCCATGTACACCCACGTACCAACGTATACAATATGCAATTTGGATACAGATGATAAACCAGGGTCACATTGGGTAGCTTTATATATCGATACGAATGACGTCGGTCAATATTTTGATTCATTCGGACGGGCACCTGTACGATATCATCTAGAGTTTTTTAAAAGAAATTGTAAAAGATGGAACTGGAATGTTGATAGGATTCAGAATGAGTGGACTTCAGTTTGTGGCGAATATTGCTTAATGTACTTGCTATATAAGTTTCAGGGATGTTCAATGCATAGTTTTACGAGTATATTTACAGAGAACACATTGTACAACGATATTTTAGTGGATGAGATGTTTCGCTCCTATTTTATAGATAATAAGTAATAAGATTTTGTATTTTATAAATAAAAATTTTAACAAAATTAGGTAATGTGTTTTATTGATGATTCAGATTAGTGTTGTAGATAGGAACAAAGGAGTATAATACAATAGCATAAGCCGACCCACACGCTGACGAATAATAGATAATGACGGTAGTCAATCAACAATAGATAAGTAGATAAGGACAATGGAGCGCTAATGACGGTTGAGGCTCGCAGCGGATATCAATTAGATAAGAGTTAATTGATCTGCACATCGGATTGTGAGTCGACGAACGTCGTGCGCCAGAACTGGTACAACCTTTCTACAAATGCGCCAGAACTGGTACAACCTAACTACTGATCAGGATTGTCAAGCTCATTCCATTTCGTTGTATGGTCGTTTAATTAGGTTTTAGAAATTGAAGCATTAGTTAATGCCTCTGTATTCGCTTGACGATTTATGGCAGTAAAGTATATAAGGCCTCCTATTATTCCAGAAGACTGCAATGCAAAAAGAATGTACGAAGTTTTCAAAGAATGCGAGAGTAGGGTTAAAGGAAAACCATATACCGCTGAGACTTGTGAGGAAGAGATCGTGGATTTGATGGAAGCTCTCGACAGATGTGTCGGTCATAAGGCATTTAATAAGTTTGCTTAAATATATTGTGATCTTGGATGGTAGATAAATAAATATTTCCGTATAATAGATATTAAAATTAAATTTGATTCTCACTGGTTTTCTTAATTTGCTTGTGAAATATTACGAGGAATGACTAGAAATTAAGACATAACAAGCTCAATTGTACAATGTCCATAAACAAGTTTATACTTTTATAGGGTAAGGGTGACACACGCGCACATAGTTCACCTGATGGTAAGTGGATGCTGTGGCCCATAGACATCTACAATGCATTAATCCACGATTAAGAATCAAAACGCAGATACGTTGTCACCCCTGAGGATTAAGATGGAATGCATCGTTTCCAGTAAAAAGGGTCTCCGGTTCTTTACACTTACCATACCAAACAGAGGAGTACGAAGCTGCCATTTACGCTTGTTTCTATGAGTGCGTGTACCTTCCCCAGTTGAGCTGACTCATACCTGGTACAACCATATTATAGCTGCAACTTGGCTTTACCACTTGTAATCATAATGAATAAAAATCCTTCACTCTCATCTTCCGAACTTCGAGGCTTCGGGTAAAATTAAGTATTTGACACTTTAGGCAATTGAAATACTTTTTAGGAGCAGTCAAAAGAAACACGCCTACGGAAATATTTTTACGTGGTAAAACCATGCTGAAGCTATGTTATTGTTGTGGCACGAATGGGTCGGCTCTACGGAAGGACTGCCCCCTCAGATAATACCAACGTGAAATAGCAGCATAACGCTGCTGTGTTTCCTATAGTGAGTGTAGAGAACCGGAGACACGTTTTACTGGAAACGAGGCATTCCGTCTTAGTCTTAAGGAGTAACAATGCATATGAATCTTGTTTCTTACCTTGTCTTGAATCTTGTCACCCGTGAGGACGAAGATGGAATACCTCGTTTCCAGTAAAAAGGTTCTCCGGTTCTCTACACTCACCATAGGAAACACAGCAGTATTAAGCTACTATTTTACGCTGGTATTCTGTGAGAGCGTGGTCCTTTCCCTGTCGTGCCGACCCATTCGTGCTACAACTATATTACTAATATAAATGCAGCATGGCTCTACTACGTATAAATTCCAAATAATAAAAAAGCCAAATACCAAATAAAACATTTCTTTAGCGTGTTTCTTTAGTTTTAACTACGATTTATTAAGAAACGGCACACATTCCACTTGATGGTAAGTGATTGCTGTGGCCCATAGTCATCTACGTCCACACTCTGTTAAGAATCAAAATGCAGATGCGACGTCACCCCTGAGGTCTAAGATCGAATGCCTCATTTCTAGTAAAAAAGGTTCTCCGGTTCAAGCAAGCTGCTATTTTACGCTGGTATTCTGTGAGCAAAATCTATGAATCCGGATGGCGTTTTGCGTGTTATTGGTATTATCAGTAGATGCTGTCAACAGGTTAAAGTCCCAATCTTCCTACAATTTTTCGGTAAAGGAAAAATTCTATGCCTAAGTGTGGAAAAATAGGGGATGAAGATTTTAACGTATAACGTAAGTATCAGTATATTCAAATTTAAACGACATTCTAGTTTTTACTTTGAACTTGTTAGTTTTCATAAATATTTAAAAGGGTAAAATAAATGAACCTTATAAAATTATTATACTGTTAAAATTCCGAAGTGAATTCGGAGTAAACCTAATCGCGCCACCTATCGAACAAGACTGCACAACATCTTCCAGGCCAGCCAGTACATCAATACATTAACAGATATATCTTTTTCTATAAACTTGTTCTTTTTCATAAAATCAAAAACACTGCGACAGATTACATAATTGTGTTGCTTTGTACAAATATTTTTTTTTGTCCTTCGTGGTAATATTCTGGTATTTAAACTTGCGTATCTGGAGGCACATATACTTAAAACATAAAAGACTTTTGACATTGATATGGTCACTATAAAATCTTGTTAGGTTAGCTAATTACGTAATAACTTGACCCTTAAGTAGGGACTGAATAAATTAACCGACTTGGTATTAGGTACATGGATCTCACAACTTTTTACGGTAGAAGAACTACTGAGTTGCGAGACTTGATTTATTTACAGGTTATGTTTTTGATGGCATATTTATTTGCATATCAATAAAATATAGTAATACAATTACTATTTACCTAACTAAATATTCTTTTCATGTTATATCGCCATTATCAACCAGTAACAATTCGTAATAATATCTGTGGGTACTTATAGGTACTCTTCAATAATCTTGATAATTGGTATTAAAAATTATGAACTTTCAAGAAATTATGCGAAATATATAAATATACCCGGTTTCGATCCCCGCCGGCACCAATTAAATTGTTAATTGCAATTTTAAGTGCTGATTTATCTCGGCGGTGAAGGAAGACATCGTGAGGAAACCCGCATGTTTGAGAAATAAGAAAAAAAATATCTTTCGATGGCTTGTGAAGTTCTGCAACACGCATTGAGGCAGCGCGGCGGACATTTCTTTGCCCTAAAACCTTCTCAGAAATGAGAGGAGGTCTGAACCCAGCAGTGGGACGTATATAGGCTGTGACTTTAACCATGGAAAATATACACTACGCTAACTTTAACTAACTTCATATAAATATACCATTACGTCATTCGATTACAGAGAGAGTCCACCTGATTTTGTAACAACTGCAACGCATAAACGGCTACATAATTAAAGATTTTTTCGGATTTAAGTTATAAATTGCTCAAGCTCTCGTAAAAACTGTAAGTGATTTATTTCTTTCATTTAAAATATGCATGTGTTGCCGGTGGAAGCATGTGACCTACATAAGTAATGGAGAAATTCCTTACGGTCGTCGCAGGGTGCTCCCGGAGCGATCGTAAAACTCGCCACAATTCGTGACATCTTGGACTTTATTGATCTTGCGGAATTGAATTCAATTGTTTTAATGAATATATGGTGTGTTGTATGATGGCGTTAACTGTTGACCGGTTGATTTTGAATAGTCTTGTGGCTCTCTCTCTCTCTCTTGTCTTTTTAGACGACTAAGTGGTAAGACAGGTTTTTTTTTTATAGAAGAGGGGGCAAATGCGGTTCACCTGATGTTAAGTGACTACCGCCGCCCATGATCAACCGCAACACTAGGGGAATTACAGGTGCGTTGCCAGCCCTTTAGAAAGGAGTGAGCTCTTCTTGAAGGTGACTGGTGAAGGTGACTTATTTTCTGCCTAGGAGTTCGTCTGTGTATGTATCGTAATCTTAGCTATATCTGTCGCCAAGTAGCAGTGCGTTCACTTCTTCGTAAAGAGCTGGTATTATACATGCAGTGAGGCATTTTAGCTCAATCTTCAGAGGATAAAAACAGATCTGTAGCTTTCCTCAAAAATATATAAGCACGTGACATGGCGTGGTATCACGGTGTGTATAGCGGCTGTGTAAGATTATCTACTACCACATATCGTCTCGTGGGTGTCGTATGAGGCGACAGAGGAAAACAAATGAGGAGATGGGCGGCAGCGTCTTCTTAATAACAACTAAAAATAACAAAACTTCGACTGCCAACCCGCTTGCCAAGCGTGGCAACTGTGGCAAATATCCCCACTATGAAGCAATATATGGGGAAGGCCAATGTACAGCAGTGGACTATAATAGGCTGTAACAGCAACGTTACATGGCGCAGACTCAGAAAGGAAAGGCTGGCTTTACACTAAGCATGTGATGAAGTAGCAAGGAATGTAAATGCACCCCACCTACATAATGTTTCATTTCATCTCTTATGTGAAGTGAAGCGAGTTGTTTATAAAATTGAGTTATAATGTACTTACGTAGTACATTATAACTCAATGGTTTATACAGGGTTATTTTGGAATAACCGGCCGAGAAAGTTCAGAATAAGTAATATAGCCAAACGGTGAAGAAAAATTAAAAAAAAATCTCAAAAATTCTGTCCTCTTTATCTTTTAAATTCAAAATGCCTTTTAATGCATTATTTTAACTGATTTTACTGCGCACACAAACAAGTAAGGGTCAATCGGCAGGCAAAAACGTTGTCGCTCATAAATCACATTCAATTTGGGATAACTTCAAATAAAAGTAGAGATATAGACTAATATTTTCAAAACTGCAATAACGGTATACCAATATTTATATTATATTTGAACTTAAGTTTAACTCACTGTTGTGTAAATTTAACTCAACTGTGTGTAGTGATGTCAGTGAGGGATGCAGTTTTACATTGAGTAATGCAGAACTGTACACACTAGTTATTAGGGATGGGCCGAATATGAATTTCACCAAATACGAATATTCGGCCGAATATTCGGTAAAATTTTTACCGAACCGAATATTCGGCCGAACATTATTCGGCAGGATAGCCTCGGTTTATGTCGAAACTTATTACCGTAAGGCACACGGGATTAGCGCCGGACCCTGCCTCTCGCTTCCCACGACACCTGACATGTTATTGCATTATATAGTACTGACTACTGAGCAAGTTGCCGGCACGTGCTTATGATTTGACTATTCTTGTGATAAAAAAGTATTTCGTTGTTTTATTCTTAATTAAAGTTAAAGTTATAGCCTATATACGTCCCACTCCTGGTCACAGGCCTCCGCTCAGAGAGGGTTATAGGGCAAGGAATTGTCCACCGCACTGCCCCAATATGCTTGTTGGCGAACTTTACATGTCTTCGAAATAATTTTTTTCTTATTTCTCAGACATGCGGGTTTCCTCACGATGTTTTCAAAATTTTTGTAAATCAGCACTTAAAATTGCAATTAATAATTTCATTGGTGCCAGCGGGGATCGAACTCAGTTTGGTCGTGCACTGTGAAATTTACAGCGAGCGCTAAGCATCTGAGCTACCATGGCTCTTTATTCTTAGTGAATAAGGTAAAGAGCTGTAAGAATTTTATTCTTAGTGAAAATTGATAAGTATAAGATAAAAATGAGCGGCAGGAGATTTACTATTTGGACTTATTTTAGAGAAACTGACGACCAAAGTAAAGTTAAATGTAATAATGTAATTTAATGTTTCTTTGTTTGATTCCGAAAACATTTTATC